CCTTCATCGAGCCAGCAGGCCCGTCCAGAGGGACCTGGAAGAAGGGAGGCACTTAGGTGCCCACGTGGCTGTCCCTCCAACATGGCCTGGTTAAGCCATCTGCCAAAGGGATGGGCGCAGCCTGCTTCCCCCTGTCTTCTGGGTCACCAAATTGGGAGGGGTGTGCGGGAGAACCCTTTGCCCCTCAGTGGCTCTGATGTGCTGGTCCTGGGGCTAACCACTGCACGTCTAGGAGCCTCACGGAATCCTCCGCCAATGGCTTGCGTGGCGGGAATCAGTATCCAACCTCATCCACGTGCAAAATTGAAGGCTCAGAGAAGTGCAGTTGACTTGCCAAGGACACCAGCAGCAGAGACATCACCAAGACCAAAACCTGGTCTGACGTTTAAAGCTGATGGAACGTGACGGCGCCAAGGCCGCGCACTGATTCAGCCTGCTCGCTGCACCCTGCCCTCCCCTGCTCGCTGCTTGCAAGGCGGGCCATGAGGCTGTAGCGAAGAGGCAGGCAGACGGTCAGGAGAAACTGGCAGTGAGTTTGGGGAGCGTCATTCTGAGCCCTCCAGCTCAGGGATGAGTGATGTGCAGCTGGGAGGCAGGGGTGGGCCGGGGGCCTTCTCCAAAGCACCTTCCCGATGAGAATGCTGATGGGGTTGTGGCAGGGGCGGGCTTGGGAGATGCAGGGAACCCCGGGAGCCTGGAATTCTCAGCGCCCCATCTCCCACCCTTTCCTAAGCCACTATCCTCCTGCCTGTGCTGTGTCCCCTCCCCAAACACTCATAAGGCTAAGTGCCTGGAGAAGCCTGTCTTCCAACATCTCTCCTTTCTTCAAAGCTACCCAGCCCTCCCGAAAGAACGCTTTCCCACGTTCTCCTTTACATTTTGCCTACATATTTTACAGCCAAACAGTGCTTTCAAAGGCCCTCCTTTCACTCCCTAATTATTTTATCTTCCAAGACGGAGGGAGGACAACACAGGAAGACGCTTGTGTGATGTCTGCTGCTCCCTTGACAAACCTCTTCAAATGAAATTTCCTTGGATGATGGGCCTGGCCTCCAGCCACGCATTCTCCGGGCTGCAGGTGGGGGCCAGGGATGAAGCCCCTGGAGAGCCGACGTCCTGCTTCCTGCTGTTGGTGTTTGACAGAAGGCTGAATTCGCTCCCGTCAGCCATTTGCTCTTTGGCCAGGGGGCCTTTTAAACACTGGTCAGCCTAACCAGGACATGCGAACCACGGAAATGCAGCTTCCCCATCTGCCACTCTGAACCTCAAGGAAGATACTTGCTCGGTTTCTGTCCCAACACTGTCTCCGGGCATTTGTGCCACTTGGCGCTGCTGTCTTTAAGGCCATCCTTAATTCAACAACAGTGGACCTCCTCTCAGCAATGTGTTATTTGAGCGAACTATGAATGTGCTTAGGACTGAGCTGGGATGGGGCATATGATCAGCTGACTGTTGGCTTCCCTCTTCCCCAGTTTGGGTTCCTGGGACTGGCTGGCCCTTAGGGATCAGTTAGGACACAGTGACCTAGAGCACACAGGCACTAGACGTGAAGACGTCTGGTTCAAATCCCAGCTCTACATTCCACTACTGTGTGCCGTTAGGTAGGGGGGGGGGGGGGGGGGGGGGGGGGGACGTCTGCCTCTCTGAGGCCTTACTTTCATCTTGCAAATAGAGATGGCCAATAATAATCTACCTTCTTGGGATATTAACGAGAATAATATGAGTTAATATAGGTCAAGCTTGGAACCGCGCCTGCACATAGTAATGCCAATAAGCGTCACTGTTTGTTGACTTTTGCCAATGTCCCCTAGACATCTGATGGCTACTTCGGGAGCTGCCTTCTGCTCAACCTAGTTGCCAGCCGTGCTGTGGGCAGGGAAGAGGACCACCCCTCAGGAGAAGGCTTCTAGGTGGGACGTGGGAAGAAGGGCAACTGTGGGTGTAGACAGAAGATTGACCTTGTTACCTGGCTCCACCATTTGACTGCTTGCGGACTGTGGGCAACCACGCAGCTCCTGTTGGGCCTCTATTTCTCCAGGGTTAACTAAGGTCTCCTCCCAGGCTGTAACTTTCCAAATGCTCCGTGACAATAAGGAGGCCTACCACTGGCCCAGGTGGTGCAGGTATGATAGGAAATCCAGCTACAGAGGGCAGGGGTGGAGGGAGAGGCAGGGGAGGAATTTAGCTGTCAGGACTCGGGGTTGGCTGCCCATGCTCCCAGCTCCATTGTTGGCTTGGGGTTTGTGTCCACACCAGGCTCCTCTCTGCCTCTGCAGCAGCGCCCACCTGGCCACCCCCATGAAAGGCCAAGCCCTGGCAAGGATGAGCGTCATTGAAACCAAGGCAGGAGAACGCTGGGCCAGACACTAAGAGCAATGGATTGAACGCATCAGGAGAGAGTCGGGGTTGGCTCTACAGGGAGGGCCGTGGAGTTGCTCTTTCTGGCCGCAGGCCCTTGTGAGCCTGGGCCTGTGCGGCCCAGCAATCACCAGCTGGGTGGCGCATCTGTGTCGCCCTTCTCTGCCGTCCTTGCTGTGCCGTTGCAGGGAAGGTGGGTGAGGGCAGAGGAGGCTTGCGGGAGGCTGCGCTGCTTGATGCTGAAAGGACGGCGGCTCGGTGGGGAGCTGGGACTAGGCTCTTGGACCAATCTGAGCATCTTAAGCATGGAGGGAGGCCAAGGGGGCATCCATCAGCGGCATGAGCCTGCAAACCGGGGCTTTATTTATGCTGTTTTCCCTTTGGATCGGGAGGCCCTGCTTAGAGACGGGTTTGCATGGGTTAGGCATGAGAGATGCTCTGGCAGCAGTCAAAGGGCCTGGGTGCAGCCTGGGGATAGGCCAAGCAGGCAGCGGCGCGCAAGCACACACACACACATGCACACATGGGCCCATGCACACTCCACACAAAGGCTGTATACACACCATGCAAGACACACAGTTTATGCATGGACCATCACGCAAAGCTAGTATCACACATACATGCAGATACCATGTGT